CCGAGCCGCCATGTGGAAAGCAGCAGCGACTGCTCCAGCAGCCAAGGCCAGGGCCCAAGCTGCTGCATGAATTTCTCAGCTCCCATTGGCCAGTTTCCATGAAGCCTCTCTTTCTCCCCCAGTACCCGGAGCAGAGAGCCACGTGGAGCAGCCACCTACTTAAAGCAGCATGGGGCTACTCTGAAGCAGCTGGCTGCTCTGTACCTGAGGGTCCCGGCAAGGGAGGGGAGCCTATGGGCCAGATCGGGTGGTCCATGGACCAGATAGGGTGGCCTGCAGGCCAGATCCCTGTGTCTTGCCCACCCCTCCAGAAGAGCCTGGCATGAAGCAGTGGGTCTGTCTGGATGTAGAGTATGGGCAGGGTCATGCAGGCAGTTTGGGTGGCTTAGCCTTCCCCTGCTTCTTGGTACCTGCAACTCATGCTTGTGGGAGTATCATGTGGCTTAATATATATTAAAGGTATTTGAAATTTTAAGATATCAGGTTCTCTTTAATGGCCTGATCCAAAACCCACTGAAATCAATAGGAGTCTTTTCATTTTTTTCATAATTATAACCAAGCTTGACTCCATACTAATACAGGTTCTGGAATCTATCAAAATATTTTTAAAAGATGAACAATGGATTTCATTTTATACCAGAATGTGCAGTAATTAATTATGGTAATTATCTTAGTTGGTAGAAAAGTTAAAGGTATTTTTAATCCTCATTAGAAGGCTTTTTATTTTTTTTCACTAGGAATTTAATGATCTTCACGTGGAAGCCCTTGCAGTGGTAGCAAATTGTCTTGATGATGTGGATACTATGCAACTAATTCAGCAGACAGGAGGCCTTAAAAAGCTACTTTCATTTGCAGAAGTGTCTGCCATTCCTGATATTCAGAAGAACGCAGCAAAGGCAATTGCTAAAGCAGCTTATGATCGTATGTTAATTTTCAAAGTTCTGTGCTCTTTTCTTTATAGAAATCCTGTGTGGTGAATTTTCAGCTAGCCTGAGGGTCACTTCTCAGCATGAGAATACAGTACTAATTGTGCTAGGAAAAATACATCCACAAACGAATTGCAGTTTCAAATCTTAGTGGTCAAACTAGCAAACAGTTACTACTTTGGATATAAAAACTCTAAGATTTTGCTTTGAGTTTATTTTTATTTGTAATACATGGGGGCAAAATGCTTTCAAAAAAGGAACCTTGGTCTCTGAAAATTGGAGCCTTTATCATTTATTTAATGATTTTAAATACTTGCTATCACAAGCATTTTTTGCCAGAAAATATTCCTTATTGGCAGTGGTTAAACCTGAATAGAAATAATTGGGCTAGTTCCCTCTCTTAAACCTACAACTGCTCATCTAAATGTCAGGAAAATTAAGGTGTGAATTCCTGTTGCAGGGACATAACATGGTTTAAAATGGCCTGCAGATTAATAATCCCTGTGGAATTAGGTTTTTTTTTCTTATCTTTCTATAATTATTCATAGCATGGCTCCTATTTTTACAGACAGTTTTTTTAAAATTCACCCTTGACTTGAGAATTATGCAGAACATATTCATTGCTTTTGCCTGTGAGGATGCTATTTAAATTAGTGTACATGTGAAAATACTTCTGGTGGGGGGAGTGGAGAATTATTGCAGTGCCTCTGGGAATGAAAAATAGTGTGGGGTGAGTAAGGTCAATTCCTTAGGTTGTAAACACCTCTGAGGAGGCACCACCCTCTAAGGAGGCTGACATATACTATTTCAAACTGGGTCTCCAGAAAGTAACAAGCAAAGAAAAGGTTTTCAGTATAAAAGGCTGAGTTTAAACAAAAAGGGCTGCCTTTCTGACCTAGCAGACAGTTAG